TAATCTCATAAACACTTTTTTATCCATTCAGCAGAACCAAGAAAGGAGTCACCTATGTAAGTAACCAGCTTCGTGAAGATCCCATATCGCTTGTAATGTTTGCAGTTTCTGGTCATGGGCCTAGTGGGCAGTTCGCTTGAAGATATTCGGCATAAGGTCCTATATCGTGACTACTCAAAGCCCACCGCCATGAACTCTTCGTTGCAAACATTACAAGCGATATGGGATCTTCACGAAGCTGGTTACTTACATAGGTGACTCCTTTCTTGGTTCTGCGGAATGGATAAAAAGTGTTTATAAGATTATCTTCTATTTCAGGGATATTAAGCCACAAAACTTTGCTATTGGACTTGGGGAGTTTGAGAAAGTCATTTACATGCTTGATTTTGGCATAGCAAGAAAATATAGAGTCGGTGAAACAAAACGCGTAAAGTGAGTTCAACAAGGAAGCGCACGATAGTGCGTGACACCTGCACAAGTACCATGGAGAAAAACGTTGATTAATAGAGCTGAGTGTTGTTATCGAAAGATGGTACATCGCTGAAAGCATACCATTTTGGCTAACGCACACTATTTCGCGTGCACCGCAATGTGTTCCAGTGAATCGAAGAGGCTTCTTCACGGCAGCTACCTCCTTTCGTTCGTTGCTCTCGACTTCACACACTGCCGCCAAGCTAGGGCTCGTACTGCTGCGTTCACCCCCCCCCCTGGCGCATTCCCGTCTACTAGAACGTACCATTGGTTCAAGCATTCCTTGCCTATGAAGCGTCCTACTTCTGCATGAACCCAACTCCAAAATGGTACTCGAAATGGTAATGTTTTCGGCAAGAGACAGATTTTAGCAAATATCCACCTTCAATCCGGAATCCAGTTAGCGGCCAGGTATACCTACTATATTTACCATTTTCACTTTAAATTCCCCCTTTTCAAACCAAATTCACCCACCTTCCGAAATCGAATTCACCCACCTTCCGAAATCGAATTCACCACACTTATTAGGCTGCGAATTGCGCGACCTTAATGGCCGCGCAATTCATCAACCAAATCACGCCAGACACTACTGCGGGCCCCGCCCCCTCGGCCACGCCCACTTGCTTTTTGCGGAATTTTGATATTTTTTTCAAAATTTTTGCATTTTTGGACTGCTGCGTGAAGCCCCGCCCACTGTGAGAGGCTCCGCCCACTTTGAAGAAGCCCCGCCCACTTTTCAAAAATGGTGCAATCGGCAGTATAGGGTCTTGGCTTTCATGCTAGGGTCTCGTTCGTCACTCGGAACAAGAAAATCAGGCAAAGTTTGTTCCGAATGATCAGCAATACCCTAGCATGCCAGACTCTATACTGCCGATTTGCACCATTTTTGAAAAGTGGGCGGGGCTTCTCCAAAGTGGGCGGAGCCTCTCACAGTGGGCGGGGCTTCACGCAGCAGTCCAAAAATGCAAAAATTTTGAAAAAATATCAAAATTCCGCAAAAAGCAAGTGGGCGTGGCCGAGGGGGCGGGGCCCGCAGTAGTGTCTGGCGTGATTTGGTTGATGAATTGCGCGGCCTAATAAGTGTGGTGAATTCGATTCGGAAGGTGGGTGAATTCGATTCGGAAGGTGGGTGAATTCGACTCGGAAGGTGGGTCACGAAATTCATAGTGCACGTCGCAGTGAAAGCGAAACTTTGGTTTCGAGAAGTGATCTAGGGAGTGAGACAAGAACATTATTGGTGGGTGACGGGAAGTCATAACAGCCGATAAGATACGATAAGGGGCCTCAGAAGGGGAGAGTCCACATATTCAGAACACGTGTGACAGCAACAGTTAAGTGTTGATTCCAAGATATGATGAGGGGTATGGGACAGGAACATTGTTGGTGGGACAGGAAGTGATAACAGCTGATAAGATTGGATAAGCAACGCCAGAAGAGCAAGGTCACCGTATTCACAGTACGGGCATAGCATCAGCTAGGCGTTGAATCCAAGACATGATACAGAGTATGGGACAAAAAAATTATTGGTGGGTGACACGAACTATTAGCGGTCGACAAGGTTTGATAAGGCACTTAAGAAAAAGAAAGTCATCATATTCATAACGCGGGTCACAGCAACACTGGGACCTTGGTGATATAAGGGGTGGGACGAGAA